TTAATTGGAGATTTGAAAGAAGTAACATCTAAAATAATTTACATAACTTAAACAAATAAACAATAGAATAACTCGTTGTTTAAGATTTGGGATACTTATTATATAAAAAGTCCTAGTTTTGTAATGTTTAATTATCTTTATTAGATAACAAGTACTGGATTTTGTAAAATATATATCAAATGATATTAAATACCAGACACACTAATTACACAGTATTTAGATCACGTGAAATGATCCAAAATATAAATGTTTATTGAAATTAAAGTACATAATTTGTTTACTTCTTGCTTTCTAAAAAATAATTTATTGCATAGATAATAAACTTTAAATTATTATAGCATTAATACAAATATTAAAATATAATATGTACCATATATATAATATGTGGTGCATATTATCTAAAAATAATAATCCCATAAATATTACTATTGTAATATTAAAAAAACTTCTCATGAGTCATGACTCACGAACACCCTCCTTGGTAGACAAAAATTACAATTCAATAACCGATTCATGAGGTTAAACAATGTAGAAGTTATTTAAAATGTATTGGTTGATGTCTTTGTCATTGTCTAAACTTAGAATGTAATAGATTTAAATATCGTTGGGAATGTGTATGTATTAATGTCATTTTTTGAATTAAAATAGCCGCATAGCCCTACAACACCGAAAAAAATCGCCCCACTACACTATGGAAAAAAAATTCGCTCCGCTACATTAACGAAAAATTTTTCGCCATCTACACTAACGAAAAATTTCGCCCCCCTTGAGTCAATTTCCTGGATCCGTCCCTGTCTCCAATAAATTAATTGTCCTGCATATCTGTTATACTAGTGCGGTAACGCGCGTTGCGCGATATCCATGCCCAATACTCAAAAACAAGCCGAAAAATGGGGAAAACATGTTAAAATAGCATGAGCAATCAACCGCCTAAAGGTGAAAAGATTGAAATGGGGGATGCCAATCCAAAGTAACAAAAGGAAACGAGAATTTATGCGTACTCCGTAATTTTTAAGGAAATTACTCATATTATATTAGTTTGGAATATACAAATGTCTTTAGTAATATCTAGAGTAATTTCCCATAGTTTTATTATACTCCGTAATTTTTAACTTATGTGAGTATAATTTACGGTCTGTCTTGGAAATAAGACCAAAATAATATATATCGCCCATAGGCTCAAAATAGGACAAGACCGGCCCTGCCAGGATACATCGTGTGTCACCTTTACATTCTGCACCTAACACTTATTTCAGATCTCACTCACCTTCACAACTCCATAAGAAAAACAACTTGCTCATTTAAACTGTCCAGTGAACTTTCTCAATTCACTGTGAGTCATCTCCTTGTTATCTATTCTTCAAAGTGATCTATCTCTATTGGTCTAAATCCTTCATACACTTGTGTTAGACTAGTTCTAAAGTCAGTCAAGTTGTTAGAGTAACGTTTTGTGCTATACTTTAACTAAACAAACAGAAACATATTTCGGCAGCCTGCTCCTAAGGTTTGGCAGTCATCTCCCAAAGACTTCTGGCAGCCTTCTCCTTCAGGTTTCGGCAGCCTGCTTCCAAAAGTGTTTTGTTTCTAGCAAACACATTTGTATAATGTTTAACCCATCTCTCTCACAACTAAAAGTGTCATAACCTTTGTCTCTATATAGTGTCATCCTCTTGAGGTCAAGACTTCCGTTGCATGTTTCAATATCTCTCAAAAGATGTTGGAACATATCCAATTAGAGAATAAGGGGAAGAAAACGAAAAGATTTAAAAGTCTATTCACCCCCACCCCCCACCCCACCCCTTTAAACTTTTACCTCACTTGGAACTCACGGTTGGTATCAAGGGCACTCATCAAAGTGCCGCACATGTTAAGGGAGTGCCGAACCTTGAGTTGGTTTTGCAGGATCAAGAGGTATAATACTAAATCATTTAGATTTCTTTTTTAAAATTGTTGATTAAATTATTTCAAAACTTCATCTCAATATATGATATACTTTTGGACAGGGGGCCACATTCATGCAGTTGTAAACAGCTTCAGATTGGTATGCCTGGTCAAGTCTGAGATCAAACAAATCAATGTTTATGCAATCAAGATCTTTTTGGTGAAGCATTCTGAATGGTGTGCTTTTATTTGAGTTAAAGTAACTCTGTATTTTGAGAGGGTTTGAAAACATTTTGTTTAAAAAGAAACTATAATTAATTGAGTTTATTTACATATTGTTACAGGCTCTCTGGCCACCGGGCTGCCACACCACGTCGTTCCAAAGGCCACTTAGGTGGCTGGCAGGTAATCTGACAGTCCTAGAGCAAGGCCAAGAATAAGGTAACCAACATGCAAATGGGATTAGTAGTTCAATATGGTGTAATTATAAGGAGACTCACTTGGTGTTAGCCTCACAGGTGTACATTAAAATACAATGTTTCACACATTTTAAAAAAAAAAAAAAGCTTTAGTATTATGCTTTAAGTGGTTTAGACAATTCAATTTCTTTCCAAAGAGGGAAAGTGGACACTTATTTTGGGACAACCCAAAAAGGAAAGTAAGACAGGTAAAATGGGACGGAGGGAGTATTATTCATTTTGCAAAGTTATTGTTCATGTTTTAATTAGTTCATTGCATAATACTTTGTGATTTTAATTGTAAATTATAATAGGTTCAAAGCTAGGTGTGAAAAGAGAAAGCTAGGTGTGAAAAGAGGAACACCCGAAGAACTATTGGTGGTCAAAGTAGCTAGTGTGATTGTTTTATTTTTTTTCTATACTTTGTCCCAAACTTCCGGTAGAAGATAGAAGATATAGAGCAGAATATTCAACAATGGCAAGGAGATGAAGAGTTGTTTCATTTATGTAACTCATTGTTTGTAAAAAGTTATACATCCTAGCATTTTGCATCCATAAATTTGTATTTGTAAGAGACTCAATATAGTTCCTTCTTATGGCTGATTAAAAATACGTAGTATAAGTTTGTATACTCATCTGTATTAGTTTGTTTTTAGTTTTTATATTTCATTAAAATCTTATCATGATAATCTTTGCAATAACCTTGGAAGCAAATGTAAAAGTGATTCCAAATAAATTTTTTGTTTGACAAAATAATTGGAATTAAAAATTATCAAAATGGCTGGATCAGAAAATGTATTTCACCATGAAGTTAACTTTTTAATGAGTAATTTTTCTCTCACTATATGCTTTTAATGATGGGATCGGATTCTCATCCTCTCATTAAAAACCATTAACTACAGAAGCTATAGTGACGGGTCGTGACGGGAAAATTCCCGTCATTAAAAATATTTAATGACTGTATTTTGATCTTTGCTCACGGGTTCTGCCGTCACTAAAAGCAATATTTCTTGTAGTGGTAGTCAATGCCCTGCACTTGCCTGTTCCCACATACGACTAGGCAAGCCTTATAGCGCTCAATAGCACCGTCACTTTTATATTTGATTTTAAACACCCATTTACAAAATATAGCTTTCTTACCGGGAAGTAAAGGTTGGAGTGTCCATGTACCTGTGCGTTCAAGAGCCTCTATTTCTCGTTGCATTGCTACTCTCCATTGGGGGTCATGTAGGGCTTCGCGGAAAGTGGTTGGTTCCTTGGATGTTGAAATAGCTCCCAAAAAGGCACGATGTTGCACTGAAAATTTATCATAATTTACATAATAAGATAAGGGATAAGGATTACCTGATTCAACCGATGGAGACGAGCAAACAACGGGAGGAGGGTTTATTTTCACAGTATTCAAGCATACGTCGTAGTCTTGATGCCAAACCGGGGGTTTTCTCTGGCGTCGTCTTCCCACATGAGCTTCTGCTGCCGGAGTATAAGATGACGGAGTAGCGGTATGCGGCAGTGATATTCTAGAATTTGATGAAGTGTCTTGTTGTATTGATGGGATGGAAGATTGGCTGACCTGATCCTCGGTTGGTGGGTTCGCATGCTCAGTCCGATCATGTAAGGCCTCTTCACGTGCATGGTTGTTGGTGTGACACTTGGTGGTACTTTGCAAGATGTAATCATGTTCCTCCTCATGTGCTTGAGAAGTGCGTAACCACGCAAGCTGGTCCAGGATAGTACTCTCATCATGGGATAATTTTGGAGCATGACCAGAAGCCTCAGGGAGTTGTTTATATGGAAAAGATGCCTCAAAAAAACGAACATCCCGTGATACGAAATGTTGTCCATTTTCTAAATCACACACTTTCCAACCCTTCTGTGAGTAAGCATATCCTAAAAACACACACTTAATTCCTCGTGGAGCAAACTTATCACCCGTTGTGTTTTTAGAGTGAGCATAACATAGACAACCAAAAATTGAAGTTGGTCATAAAGAGGAGGCTTGTTGTATAAAAGTTCATAAGGAGTCTTGTTTCCTAGCAGCGGGGAAGGTAAGCGGTTGATAAGATACCCGGCCATCAAAATACATTCACCCCAAAAATTAATAGGCAAGTTAGCATGAAATCGTAAAGCCCTAGCCATTTCAAGAATGTGCCTATGTTTCCTCTCAACTCTACCATTTTGTTGTGGGGTGTACACACAAGAGGTTTGAAAAATAATACCATTGTCCAAAAGATAGGCTCGTAAACCTTGAAATTCCAAGCCATTGTCACATCTTACAACTTTCACACTTTTATCAAATTGACGTTGCGTCATGGCGAAGAATTGTTTCAGAACATTTCGGACCTCACTTTTCTCTCGTAACAAATGCACCCAGACAGCTCTAGAAAAATCATCCACCACAGTTGAAAAATAATGGCCACCACATGAAGCAGAAAATCTATACGGACACCACACATCACAATGAATCAATTCAAAAGGTTGACCAGCTCTAGCATTATGAATAGGAAACACGTCACGAGTTTGTTTAGCACGCAAACACGCATCACATTCGTTATTCGGAACTGTCTCAAATAAAGATTTATTCAAACGATTAACTAATCGCATAACGGACAAAGACGGATGTCCTAACCTAGAGTGCCACAATTGTCTTGAATCTAACGACTTGACTGAATGGGCTTGAAATTTGTCCAGACTGCGAAAATAATAAACTCCCCCACGTCGTTGACCCACTCCAATTGGCATCCTCGAAGGTACGTCATGTATCACACAAATATCATTAGTAAAAAATACATCACATTTCAGTTCCTCGGTTAATCGCGCAATTGATATCAAATTACATTTCAAGTCAGGCACAAGTAAAACATTTTTAAGTATTAGGGCCGAACTCAGTCGCAGATCTCCTACATGTGAAGCGTGGGTTACTTCTCCATTTGGCAGAGTCACCGGCACAGGGGTCAAATTTTCGGTCCTCTTCAAAATCAGTGCACTTCCTGTCATATGATAGGAAGTTCCTGAGTCAAGGAGTCACTCAATTGGATTTCTCATACCCATTAAATTATCTGCTGGAGATCCCTTGCAAGAATCCACTACGTTGAGTAGGCTCTGCCATTGATCATCATTAATTTCAGGTTTACGTATGAAGTCTCCACGTAAATCCACTTGGGTATTCTCATCTGCCCGTGCAGCGAAGACTAGTGCATCGGTTTCCCTTCCCCTTCGTTCATAGAGTCGATCATCGGTACCTGGAGGCATGTTAAACATATAAAGTATTAAACCTAAAAATTGAAGAGATTATTTGGTCGTGATAATCTTTTCTCGTATTCGATAGATGGGCTATTGTCATGTACTTCCTTCGTCCTTAAATAAGTGCAACGGTCAACATTTCACACTTGTGGAGACACAACTTTGAAATTAAAAACTAATTTCATGCGTTAGTCTTTTGTTCTTAAATTAAACAAAAAACTAATCGCATAACGGACAAAGAAGTATAATTTTGCATAATTGTATTAGTAAAAAAATTAAAAAAAATTAGATTTTGAAAATTTACAATGGGACAAATTTAACAATATTATTTTCATAAACAAATATTAATACAATAATAAATAAAATATAGTCAAAGCAGAACACGTGAATAGTGTAAATTTTGATATGTTGCATTTATTAAAGGGTAGTATATACAATTACATCAGCCTTGCTCTCCGTAACAGATGCCAACCGACTAGCTACATAAAAGGAAGGAAAAATTAAAATGGAACATGTAACTGTACAAAATATTCACAAGGCAAAATATTTACAAAATATTCTGCAAGAGTTCCCATTTGACGAAGAAAATTTTTGTCCTTGAAATCCTCTCTAGCTATTCACTTTTAGTAGTTTAAAATGTCGCCCGATAGGCTCCCAAACAATTAACTTTGTTTAGTCTTCACCTCTAGCTGTTTGGTGGTGCTTGCATTTTTCCAGGTGCTACTCGATCATCAGTCTACTTTGATTTGGTTATGCATATCTTATATCTTATATACAATCTTATAATCATCAATCAAGGTTAGGGCAATTTGGGTAGGAAAAAAATGTTGGTGTAATCAGGTTGCTTAGTAGAGTTGCACATTAGTCTTTATCTTTTGTACTCTTTATTAATATCCTTGTCTTTCCGTTTTATTCCGTCTCTAATAGTCACCTCCAGCATCCAGCAGTTACGGCTCCCATTTTTCCGTCTGTTTGGCGCGAATGGCTGTTCCTCTTCGGACTAAGCATATGCGTATTCATTTATTTCGCCAGTAATGGTTCCAATTAAGATCCCCTTCCATTCCAAATTTTATTAAGCTTGTAATTGATCTCCGACTTCGTCCTTTCATGTTCTTCTCAGGCGACAATTATGAATGGTGGAGAACATACCGGAGCAGACTGTTCTCTTGTGGCGATTATAAATCTGATGGTGTGAAATTTTTTCAAAGCTTCAGCAATTCCTCGCAGCCTTGGTACTATAAGCAGCTTCCAATCCCTGCTTTAGGGCCCGTTTGGTAACGGTTGCAACGGCTGAATAGGCTGAATAGACTGAAAAGACTTAATCTGTTAAAGTGAAAGTGTTTGGTAATATGTTGGCTGAAATGACTGATTGAGTGTAAAATTACTATAAAGGGTATTAGCTTGTTTGTGTTAAATATATGGGTATGATCTTTGTTAGTAAATTAATTTTGCTTATTTAACTTATGACATCAAATTTTTTACTCCTATGTTGAGTTTATATTGTTCTATACAAGTTTTATCTTCCAAAAAACACGATGTTTTCTGAATGACTGACATTAGTAACATGTGTAAATTAATTTAAAAAATACACTTTCAATAAAATATATGGAGCATTAAAAAGCTCACATGCATTGAAATTAAAATAAAAACAAAACAAAAAGTACACATACGTATTTATTGGAGATATTTAGCACAGTAAAGTACGTAGTATTTAACACCATACTCCAGAGCACCAAACAACTCATCGAAACTACATGCAACGGCAGATGGATGTGTTGACTTGATGACTTCAGATATGTATCCAACGTTCTTTCAGGTATAACAGAAGGGTAAAACAGGTCTTTTTGGTCACCAACAGCAAAATAATAAGAATCAGCCGAAAAAGTAAGTAAACGGTTGTTTTTTGAGCTGATAATAAAAATCAGCCCAAACAGCAAATTCAGCTAGTGTTTGGCAATTTTTTTTTATACTTTCAGGCTTATCAGCCCATTTTGGGTGCTCCAAACGCCCTCTGAGTCCTGTAACCCCGTTTATCACTATATCCATCATTTTCCATCTTTAAAAACACAGTCCAAGTGTTGTCATAAATAATACAATCAGTTTGGTTCAAAAATGCGGATCTCATTTTTGTTTTTGTATGAAAAGTCACAGTAAGCTTTATTTGGAGGATCTATTATGTAGCACACAAAATACTCTGTCAAGTGTTCAAATAAATTTGTCTGGCTTTGAGCCTATGTGTTTTTTATGGTTGGTTAACACAATTCTATGTAAAGAGTATGTAAAGTTTTAATTGGGAGAAGTGAGAACGGTTGGAGCAATAAGCTAAGCAAGTTGGTTGAGGGGAAATGTGGTCATTAACATCCGAAAATCTAACACCGATGGATATATGGGTTGAGCTTACTTAGGAGTGGCATTTGGAATAGACATGATTGTGAGATGTTAGATTCAAAGATTGGTTATTATAAATGCCCTGTTTTTGTCCGGTTATTATAGTCACTTTTGTATATAAAGTGACTGTATTTGTTCCTTAAAATTCAAAGTTCCAACTTAAAAATTTATATTTCCTTTTAATCCATAACTTAGATAATCCTTTTAACAATCATTTTAGATGTTTAGTTATTTAATACTTTATATTCTATATTTAGTTTATATAAGGTGAGATTATAAAATAATCTCTATACTACTTGTGATTATATTCATTTCAGGTGCTTAGTTGATTTCTTCCATTTGCTTGATAAATGATACAAAAATTCAACCTACAACCGAATTAAGAGGTTAACCATTGGCTATATTCCAACTAAATACAATGGCACAAATTGTAGAAGAAAGTTTCGAATTCTGGGGTCATGTTGTACCATACAATTTGGATTACACAATGGGCTATGCAATCCCCCCAAGGCCCCAAGTGATATCATAACATGCATGTTGTTCTTAAATACTATCGTATGTTCTACCAAAAATGATGCTTTTGGTAGATGATGATCTGGATTGATTTAAAAGCTTGTGTAGAGTAATTCTTTTTTGAAGCATGTTGGGTGTTTGTGAATAAACCTAGCTAAGTGTATACACCTGCATAATTGTTCTTTTCAATTGAAACATACACCTGCATAAATGTCATTTTCAATTGAAACATAAATAAGTGTAACTTAGGTGAAAACGACTATTTTTTAAGCATGCCGTAAGAGCTTAATGTGTAAGAAGTACTTAAATTTCATTGAAACATACGCCATGGCGTGCTTGCTTACAATGCTGTTTGTGGCAAATGTTGTGCCAGAAACCAAGAGAAAAACACGGGAGGAAATCCAGGCAACCATCAGCTTATGGCGGCGTACAAGCTAACCCATAAATGAAGAGAACCATTATTTAAACAACACTTCTACTGCACTAGAGGCTAGCCTGTACCATGATCATGAGATGGATTTCAAAGATTTGGAGCCAGAAACAGTTTGGTCCGAACATGAAAGTATTACAAAAGATGTTTGTATCAGGTAGCTATAACAGTACATCTATACCAATATTCCGCCATTATACGGTTTGGAGTATAATCATCTTTATAGCCAATAGTATGGTGCAGCCCAAATTCCCAAAAACGAAGAGGCGGTGAAATGTTGAAGACAAGGGGGACTACCTGCTGCGTGATTCCGTGAGCGGCTGAGCGGTGACTCCGTCAGTTCGTGACTCTTCAAGCTTGTGAAAAGAAAAAAAGAAGTGAACGTCTACAGAAACAGTTGGTGGAAGGGCAAAATGGAGCAGAACGGGAAAGAAGAAGAGAATGAAAAGTTGCATGCTTCTCGTCGCCAGTGGAAGGAAAATACTGGTAACCTTATTTCAGCAACCAATGATGATAAGCTAAGGGACCTCTTTGATCAAATCAGGACTTCCAAAACTCCTGTAGTTATTAACTATGGTGCATCTTGGTGCCATGTTTGCAGGCAGATACTTCCAGCATTCTGTGAGTTGAGTAACAGCTTCCCTAAATATCGTTTGTATATGCTGATATTGATGATTGTCCAGAGACAACCCAGCATGTCCGCTACACGCAAACTTTCCATTTCTACCGTGATGGGGAGAGGGTTGATGAGATGTTTGATGCCGGCGAAGAGAGACTGCATGACAGGCTCTGGTTGCACTCTAAGATACATGGGCTTGGTTTTATTTGGTTGCACATCACTCTTGGATGGAAAATCTCTAGATTTTTGAACAATTGATGTTATCACATATATAAATGTATCTCCATCTCGTGAGTGTTTAAGCTCCAATGAAATTAACAAAAAAAAAAAGAGTTTTATTTCATAACAAACAACAAGCCAATAGTATGGTTTAATGTTTAAATTATTTGGTTAAAAAAATTCAACTGTCATCATTTATTATCATGCATGTCTGCCTAAATGATTCGACATTGTAAAATACGTAGACTTCATTTAACATGCATCTTTCCTTTTTCTTCCTTTTCAAGGCTAAAAGTTTATCCTAGACAATAATGCACACAAGTTATGTGTACCCTCTAATAGAATAATTTCATCTATTATTTCTTTCCTTCTAGATTTAGTGCATGTTTGGCACACATAAGTCACTGCCTTCTAGCTCTTGTATTGTTTAAAAAGTCTCTAAAAGCTTTTAGTTGTGTGTTTGGCATGACAAATTTTAAGAGCTTCTCGAAAAATAAAAGATCTTTCTTGAGATGCTACGGGGAGTAGCATCTGAGAAAAGACCGTGACTGTTAGTATTAATTTGTCCTAACAGCTTGTATACCAAACATGACTAAATCAAACAGCTGACTTTTTACCAAACAGCTACCACCTTTTCTTTTTAAGATCTTTTCAGTCACTAAAAGCTAACAGTTACTAAAAAGCTCACAAAAGTATCTTTTCATCCACTAAAGTTTGACCCCATGCTTATTTTCACATCCTTTTGTCCACAATTTATACCGTGCAACCGGCGCACCATGAGGATGGTGCGTCCGGTTGCAAAACGACGCACGCTTCATTCAAAACGACGGGGTGCCTGGTTTCTTTTTTTCTTTTTTTTGCTTTTGTTGTTAAGAAATGATAATAACTTTTTTATTTTTGCTC